TTCAGATGTAAAACTCTGCTCAGATTCACAGTCATACGCCCCTCAGCCCCCAGTACAGATGTGTCTAACTGGAACACACTAAAGATCAGGCTTTAATCGACTTTACAGAACGATCTCTCTCCCTCCCTCTCTCTCTTTTCGTGAAACCACAACATGGTGTAGTTACGTGTGGTAAAAAGGGAGAGGGGGAAGCCTCAGACAAGAACAAAATTGCAAGCTTTCACATACAAAGCATCTGCTATAGACCAAGGGGAGGGTGAAGGGGGGGAGAGAAAAAAAAAAAAAAGATGCACACACACAGAGAAAACAGAGTATCAACCCCTTGCAAAACCGCATCATCTTGCCTTCCTTCAGATTTGGGGGTTTTTTTTTTTGCCTGCTCGGGATAGCACTGATTCACAAATGGTGTGCCCGACCCTATGCCACTCGCCCAGGTCCCCTGCGCGAGGGCTGCGAGCGCGGGCCCTGCAGCGACACGGGGAGGATGCACGTACGCCCACGCATGTATGTACGCAAGTGTACATACAGACGTATGTCCCATATGTAACATACGGAGATGACCTGTGGTCATGCTTTCACAGTCTAAGGTTAAAAAAAAATCCACTTGAGAGTATATATACATTAAAACCCGACTCCTCAGTGCTAGAAGCTAAAGCCACTCCATTTGAAGACCTCTCAATGACAACGATAGATGGCAACTACGGAGTATTGTAAAAAATCACACATACTTAAAGAAAACTCATTGCAAACAACTGACCTATATTTACAATACTGCTATTACCTTGCTTGAATGATCTTGTGCGCCTATGTCTGACATTTACAAAAGATTTTTCGCCCCATTCTGATCATAAAATAGATACTGATCTCCAGATTTCTAATACTTTTTCACAACAATACCTTTCCTACGCAGGCACTTAAGTGTGACAAAAATAAGGGCCTTTTTTTTTTTTTTTTTTTTCCCAGAAAATCCATTTTTAATTAACAGGAGGATTAGATGAATGGGGGTTGATGGTTTACCATTTCAGCATAGTTACTTCCTAAAACCAGAGATAAACCACGAACTTAAGTCCTCCACCCCCATCCCGGAATTAAACAGGTAAATACACTACAGTACATCTGCTACAAACTTACTGTGACAAGTAAACAAATCAATCGCCTATGGACTTAAATGACTGCAAACTATAGAGAAGTAGTGTGGTTTCTGAAAGACATTTATGACAGCCAAACAAGTTTCAGATATCAAATAATATTTTAATTTCTGAATACTTTCAATTTTCCTTGGAATATAACACACAAAGACTCGACCAAACAGTTCAGTTATTATAACTTTTACAGTATACAGAAATGTTGCACTTAAAAAAAAAAACCTTCAGTTTTTTTAAACACAAAACTGTAAACTCTAAGATACTGAATCAATCACGTTATCTATAAGTGCCAACAGTGTTATTTTGTCATGCTGATTTCAATGGTATTTTTTAAAAAGGGAAAATATCAACAATTATTATAATACAAAGGGCTTGCAAATATACAAACAGATAGAGGAGTTTAATAACAATTCATGATGAACTATGTGGAACCCAATTCAAATTACAAAAGTTCACTTTGCTTGTTTGTTTGCTTTTTTTAAAAATCAAAACCGTAGTGTGTCTTGGACACAAATTCCTTCTACCTATAATAAAACCCCACAGTTCATTTTCTGTCCGAAATACCAAAAAACCTAGATTTGGGGGTAGTTATATGACATGTGTGGTTCATTCGGGTCTATATAATTATAGCTCTCTCAGCTTCAAGCTAGATTTTGGGTCACCACCTTAAGTGCGCTTCCATCATTGTGTTGTTGAGGGTTGGTGTTTTTTTTTTTCTCTTTTCCTTTCTTCCTATGATACTTCCGTGGACTCAGTTTTAATTCTTTCAGAACATATATTTTAAGGATACACAGTTTTTTTTTTTTTTAAAGAAGCCAAGGTTATATCAAAAATTATTATAGAACCACAGAATAAACTGGTTTGAAACCAGAAAAATACAAAAAAGAACAGCTATAGGTACATAGACACATAGGACAATTAATAATTTGGAAAAAAAAGACTTACTTTCTTCCATTCTGCTAATTTTCTCCAAATTTCCTTTAAATGCACTTTAAGCGAGATTTTTGAAAAAGTTTACCCCAAAAAAAGAAAAAAAAAGAAGAAAAAAGAAAAAAAGAAAAAGCCCACCATCATTTCTTTTCTTCTTCTTTTTCTTTTTTCTTTCTTTCTTTTTTCTTTCTCTCTTTTTTATTTTTTACAAAAAATGATAAGTAGCAAGTTTTTTTTTCTGAACGACACGGGAGTTTCTAATGCATTCTGTAAAAGTTCATTTGACAGTCTCTTTTTTAAATTCACAGTCCATTAATTTTTTTCCTGTCTTCTCTTAGCAAACTTGTAACATCCTTTTACATCCTTTCTTAGCAGAAGGAAATTTAAGAAACAACCAGAACCCAAATGTCATTTGCTTTCCTTTCACTCTCATCTCCCTTCTCAATTTTTGATTTTTTTAAATATTTTTTTTTCTCTCTCTCGAATATTTTATTGAATGGACATATAAGGCCAGTTAAAACTGCTGCCAGACAGTAACATATCCCTGATTAGGGTTTCTATGGGGGTTTTACCTACCAAACGGACGAAAAACAATTGCTCTATGACAGAAGAGGAGACAGTGCGAAGGGAGGGGAGACGTAGTAATAGCTTCCCGAATCGTGTTGGCTGGTTGGGATACTGGCTCCTAACATACTCTTCCAAAGCACACTGTGACTTCTCCTGTAAACTTTCAACATGGGCTACATCAGAGAGACCACAGGCATCTAGAAGAAAGTGTATTAAAAAAAAAAAAAAAGAAAGGAAAAGAAAAAAAGAAAACAATCATCAGATTAAAAAGTTGTTGGTTTTTTAATTTTTAATTTGATCTTTTTTTTTTTTTATTGCCAGAATTAAGTGTAGATCGTGCTCCATCATCTCACCCCACAGAGTTTTAAGTAGCTTTTAACCAAAAGCAACCATCTCTCTCTTTCTGGGTATACGTGTGTGTGTTTGTATTTCTCTCTCTTCTGGAGGGTCTCCTTTAGGACTGAGAATCCCAAGATTCGAGATTTCTACTGGCATGACAGACCTGAGGGGTTGACAAGGAGTTGTTGGCCAAGCGTAATTCCGTATATCTATATTTTTAGGGGGAAAGACTGGGGGGGCAGGGAAGGCTTCAGTCTTTGAAAGAGGCGAAAGGGAGCCACTCTTTCTCCCCCATTCCGGAAAATAATTGGGGATAGCCTAACCATGTGATGCGAAGGAATACTCATAACAGTCATAGAAATCATAATAATAATAAAAAACTGGCCCAGCCAAAGATAATGGCGCCCCGGATCCAGCAACAGATTCTCCCCCAAAGAAGACAACGCGTTTTTCTTCAGTCTTTGAAACTGATTTAAGTGGCCCTTTAAAACTGATCTTGTCAGTTTAGCCTATTCAGAGGCAGCCATGCAAACTGTGATCTCTCTGTTCATTTGAGCTGTTTCTTTTTCCCCCCCTTTT